CTTCGGCCCGCGCGAGCAGAGACTGCGAGAATCCGTGACGTGTAGCTGTAGCGCGTGACAATTCGCGGCTGTGCTGCGTGAAGTGCAGAAACTCGGAAGGCTCTCTTCCGTCGAGCCCCGAAAATTCGGAAGCGGGATAAAACGCGTGAAGGAAAGAGAGACGTAAAGAAAGGACGTTTTCTCCTGGTAGCTAAATCGGCGATCGTCTTCGGGGGAATAGGAAGATGAGCTGCCAACGTAACGCCGGCAAGATCACGGTGCCGGACGACCTGCGCGACGTCCTGCTGGAGTTCACAATCAGCTATCTGCTGGAGCAGCCCGGCGACATCATCGACTACGCTGTGGACTTCTTCACGCGGCTACGTGACGCACGGCGTACGCAGCTTATCCATACGGACGGTCAGACCTGCTCGTCCACGCCGGATGAATCTGTCGATGAAGGTGAGACTTGAGAGAGGACGAGATGTCTTTCTCTCTTTCCTGTCTCTCTCTCTCTCTCTCTCTCTCTCTCTCTCTCTCTCTCTCTCTTTCGCGTTCTCTATCCCAGTTTCCGTCTCACGGTATCTCACGATCAGAGGCGATTCTGTCAATAATGCTTGTCCACAGGAACCGACAGGTCTAAAAACAAGATGGATAAATCCATAAAGGTCCATTCTGAAGCTTTATGATCAAAACGAATTGTACAAACTATGGCCGTGTTAAATTTTTCAAGTGGAAGACTTTTCATCTTTATAATTCTCTATGTGAGAAAAATCGATACCAAATATATCTTCTAAAAAATCTAAACTGAGAAGAATGTTTTGCATATTACAGTCACTGCTCTGAAATAATATCAGTCGATTTGATTCCTTAAAATTTTTCTATTTTGCTAACAACACTGTCCCGTTATCTTTTCTTAATTAAATCAAATTAATAAATTATCGGCAGGATACTCATTGAAAAATCTGTTCGATAGTAAAGATTTTACTGTCATCTCGAATTCGAGAAATTAAGCGATTCTCTCTCTTTAATTTATGAGAAAAAAATCAGACATTGTACAAGTATAGAGTGACGAATAGCTTGGTTAACTGATTATGATTAGTGTCAATCATAACGTTAGTAGAGCCAAGCTTGAGCTGGTCGACAGCTGCTCGAATCGATATCAGTTGTAAGTTAAGCGTGCAGGGTCGATTCTACCAACGTCAATTGACTCGTCGTCGCGGTTTCGATTCTCACTTTCCTTCCGGGGGTGGGTAAAAGACGGAAAGGTGGGCGGAGAAAAGAAATGTCGTGATTCAGGATATAACGCAGCATATATAATATCAGTAATTTACCAGTAATAGACGATGATAATAATTTAATAAAATTGAGCAATCGGTCGTTTATTCCATGTCGTATTCTCTGTCTGTCCTTTATCTCAATGGCTGTTACGTTCAACAGAAAAAAAACATGCATTTAGATTCAGTGAAGGATTAAGAGGAATTATATATATATATATATATATATAAGCAAGAAATATTTAAACTTATTCTATAATTGCATAAGCGTAGTAAATGATTGTAGTTGTAAGAATTAACCAGTCACAGTCAAATATTAGGAAAATGTTCGCCTGTGATTAGGCAATTCTTTTACAATTATAATTACTTACAACTACGCTTACACAATTGTAGAATGGGTTTTATATTAAAGCCTATTCTATAATTATGTAAACGTAGTTGTAAGTGATTGTAGTTGTAAGAATTGACCAATCACAGTTGAATATTCTTCTCATATATTCGACAGTGATCGATCAATTCTTACAACTACAACTATTTACAACTGCACTTACGCAATTGTAGAATGGGCTTAAAAGGTCTTACAACAGTCGTGAAACTTTTTCTGCTGAACGCATCCATTGGTCGATATATTTAGCGATACCAGGTGATCATCTACTGAATGGATGTCTGGATTCGACCACCGATATGGTGATTAATTCCGGGGTTAGTTGACCAATTCTCCTCTTTTCCCCTCGGGATAGTAACGTTGGTGATATAACATGAGCAATTACGTGGGATTAGTGCTGAACGATATTGGTGGAATCGGTTTCCAAACGAGCCGCGCACGTAATGGCAGTACGAAATGTATGTCTGAATAAACGCTGGGATGTTCCACTGAGAAATGCATGTGATATCGAAACGCTTCTATTCGCATGCAATTTCTAGTCAGTATCGCATTCGAAGCTTAGACATCTTTCTTTCTTCTCTCCTTTTTTTTCCTTTATAGTACACTTTCTTCCACGAAAAACAACACTTCTCTCTTTTTCCCAGATTGATTCAATTTTCTATCCTTTCTTGCCCAATCAAGGAGGAAGTTCCTTAAATCTCTCGGAGAGACTCGCGATAGTAAGATAAATGCTTTTGGGGTATTATTGGATCCCTCTCACTGTCGAGCAGGCGAAAAGACGATATTCTTGATTCCTGCCTGAGTCACACGAAGTATCCTTTTTATAAAATTGCACGGAATATTAAACTCCCTAACTATTACGTCTCGACGAACAACTTCACTACGGCAGAACGAAAATAGATGTTCTAATATTTTTTCTTCTTTATCAATGTATGTCTTTATCAATGGCTGCGTTCAGCAGAAAGGAATAGCTTTGCAACTGTTGTAAAATTTTTTATTACAGTTGATCTCGTTCTTACTCACTAGATCAAAATGTATATAAATCAGTTATATTAAAAAATTTTACAACAGTTGCAAAACTGCTTTTTCTGTTGAACGCGTTTTTTTTTCTCTTTCCTAATTACTATTTATACAAATTGTCTTTTTTGTTGCCACATACAAGGAGCTTATTACGGTTTTTGGAGCGAGGTGAAAATTACAGAAGTGAGTGAATTTACTAGAATATTTATCACTTCATTGGGCAACACCTATATAGCGAATTTGCTTTCGTAATTTTCACTTTGTTTCAAACGATTAGATTCTATATCACTACACTTGGTGAAATTTACAAAAATTATTGAACATTTACTGGAATATTTATAACTTCATTAAACATCTAAATAGACAACATCTAATTAATTTGCTCATTTTTTAAATTTTCTTCTCGTTTCAAAATACAAAATTATTACGTTTCAAGAATCTTAATAAACTCTCAGACTCCTTTGCGAGCGAATTATTTCGCCGCAAAGATCGCCCTTGCCGTTCATCGCGATACCCTCAGTTAACATATCATTCATGAAAAGTTCGATTCGTATTCCCGATGTGCCGAATATTCTAAAACAGTAAAAGAACTTTCACAGAGAATGTTCAAATATTAATGAGATATTCGGAATATTGTATGAACACTTCTTGTGCGAGCAGTACGCATCCTCGACGACAGAGGGTCGTAATGAAAATGTATTAACTCGTAAATAAAAAGGGAAAGAGTATAAAAAGCGTAAGGATGCGTTCAGGAATTACTCCTAGATAACTCTAGACTATAATTTACGTTGCTGTAATTTACGTTACGTATACTATAACAAAAGTACACATCAGAGTTATCTGGACATAATTCCTGAACGCATCCCCCTGCATTTCGTTTGCGAAGTAAATCCCCCAAAATTAGGTTCTAAGATAAAAGCAAATAAAATTTCTGACAGTACAATTTCGTTTAATTCAGGGACGAATGTGGAATTTCTGGGAAAAGTGTGATTTCATGAAATGTATAGCGTTGTATGAATGAAATATTTAACGATTATTTGCACTCTAAATTTTTGAGAGTAAAGTTTCACTCTAAGAAAAGTGATAATTGCGTCAGTCTGGCAAGAATGAATTTCACTTCACTCCTTCAAGGAGTGAATTTCCTAAAAAGTCAATTGTAATGATTAATATTTCGCTTCGCGAGACAAAATGACGCTTTTTCCTATCAGATTCATTCGTTTTGTATAAAGACACATCGAATGAGCTTAATTTCGTTAGGATTAGATGTGGGTGGACTAAACTTAACATTTACCTTCGGTCTCTCTTTTCGGAGAGTGAGATTATTCAGAGATTAAAAATTGACTCTCTCACTTGAAGTTTTTTCTTCACTCTCTAAGAATATAAATTTCATTCCTGCTGGACTGGCGCAACTACCATTGTTCGGAAGTGAAATTTTATTCTTAAAAATTTAGAGTGTTGCTTATACATTAACTCGTAAATAGGAATCGTATAGGAAAGAATATAAAGGTCGCAGTATTTCAACTGTAAAGTGAGCCATTAAAATTAGGTTCCAAGGTCAAAGTAAATGAAATGTGTTTTTGTGACAGTACAATTTCGTTTAAAAATTAAAGTTAATTCAGAGACCTTCGGACATGGAATTTCTGGAAAAATTATAATTTTATAATTACTTATTGGAATATATTCTCTGAATACATAACGAGTGTGAATGGATATTTAACGATGTTTTGAATATTGTTTTTACTACATTCTGAAAATATTTCGAAATATTCCGGAATATTCTTGGAATGTCACATTTTACGAATATTTCAGGAATTTTAGCATTAATTGGGGTCCGTTTTACATCTCACCTCGAGTAAAGCATACTAATAAGTTATTCCAGACTCATTCTGAACTTTCGCGACTCCCCTTTCATTATTGTTCAAACGTTTCTTAATCTCGCTCGGATTGAAGTCGTGATAATCGATCGAGATCCCCCCTCCCCCCGGAAATTCTCTCACGTTGTTTCCGCGCTCTCCACCATCCTTTCCTTCTACCCCCAGAACGAAAGCCTGGACTCGGTTATTATTGTCACGTGGGACGAGGAAGGGGAGTATCGCTTCGATCTCGGAGATGCGCGTCCGAAGAATCTTGTAGAAGAAAAACGCACGCAAAGTGGAGCACTCACCCCGTCGTTTGGTTGGAAGTTTCGCTGAAGTTTCGTCAAACACACCGCTTCAGATCGACTCGATTCATAACTTTTCGAGACCTGCGCGCGATTTGAGGAACCCAATCGCTCAGCTGCACCAACACGGGTCCAGTCGGGTCCGATCAGGCGCTGTCGCGAGATGAGATTCTCGGATGCGCGGTGGTTTCGATATAGTTCAATATTTGTTCGTGTAGCGCTTTATACAAGCGCTTAGCCGGCGACCGCGATCTCGTCCCGTCAGTACGACGCGACTGCACATCCCGAACGCGATCCTCTTCGTCTGTGCTTCTCGTCGTTTATTTCATCTTTTCGTCTACGAAGGAAAAACGCGAGCGTGGATCAACGCGGATACGAATCTCGTAAATGTATTCGCGCGTCGGGGAACTCTTTTCCCAGCAGAAGTCGTAGCTGAAATAAAAAAACGGGGCAACCCCTTTGATTAGTTTGACCGTTTAGCAAAGTTTACTCACGATCGTTGGGTAAAATGCTCGGAATAGAAAGGAAAAGAAACGCCTGAATATTTATGACTGCATTACTTACTCTGTACGCGAATGCTACGTTCCGGAGTTGTTTACCACGCGCCCGTTTACCACGTCGAAATTTCTTACCTTAGTGTAATATTGTGATAAAATCGTGTCTGTGAATTAGTTGTTATAGTAGATACGAGGTATCATCTACGATATATTTCTTGTTTCGTGACAAGTGAACGTGAACGTGCTACCAAGAAGGACGAACGTGTTTCTCGTGCACGTTTCTGCCGTGTTTCTTTCCTCTGCGGACCAAATGTCGCTCATCTCCGTCATCGAGCCAGTGGATGACAGAGGTGCGAAAAAACGAAATATCATGGAGTTCCCGTTGTCTAAATTAATAACGAGACATAAGACAAAACTTTTGAGTCGTACACTGAAAAAGATATTAAATTGTTTAAAATATTTGTTTGGATAATATTAAGTAAATATTTATTAAATATAAATATATATATTTACTTGATACAAGACTCGCTGAGTTAATTTGATTTAACTATTATTTTTTATTAGTAATTTTTTTTCAGTGTATGAAATTTCGCGACACTATAAAAACTTTGTTACGTTTGGAAGGAGTAATAGAAATGTATAAATTTGTATTCGCTTGAAAAAATAACATAGGTTTTTTAATCGCATTTAATCGCGTAAAGTTGCACTGCACGAAGAAAAATTTGAGAAAAAATTGGGTGATTCAGCAAAAAATTTTTACTGCGCGAGTCTAACATTTATAACCAAAAAGATTTGATGGTTTAACACGAAAATTAGACTGTAAGTAATTATTAATATGATAATTCAGCTAATCCTTTTCTGCAATAAAAGTTGCTAATATAAAAATTGCTAATATTTTTTTCATAGTACCAAAAATATGTGTCGCCTTAGCTAGCATGTTTCGTTAAAAATTTTGATCTATATATTAGATTAATTTTAGAAAGTTGCTTTACAATAAATATGATTACCTAATTTTATTCAATTATATAACTAACTTTGTTGCTTTAACATAGAAAACTGGCTGTTAGTATACTATGACTAGATTTGCTGAATCAGTGAAGTTTTCAGTTTTAACGAATCTTTTTTTCATGTGTTTTTCTCGTGGTATCTTTTATCGCGAAAGAAAAAAGCCACCATTAATTCTTAAAAGAGAAGTTTTAGGAGTAAGTTGTTATTAATCTCTGAACTTTCAAGAATTTTCTTGAAAACGGGAATATTTGAGGAAATATTTATCCTCTATAACTTTCGACTTATCTGCTTTATGTAAATTATCCTGTTACCATGAGTTGCACGGGAAATCATGTGTTGCACACGACAACGGGAAAATATATTTGTAATTGGGATCAGGTAAACCGACGGAACAGAATTTTGATCGTATAAGGAAATTCGTGTCTTTGGAAGAAAGATAGTACGATTTCGCGTTCAATATCCGTACTCGATTTATGCAGTGTTTCAAGACGAAAGGTCAACACTTCAGAAAGACGTCGACAGTATGTCATTAAAGGAAAAAAAAAGTTTCAACGAGTCTCTCTACCACAAATTGCAAAAAGATCGAAAATGAAACTTCAGCGAAAACTTCTGTCACATAAAGCTCTAAAAGGATATGATATTTCTCTGTGACACCATTCAAAATGCTAATGTTGAAACTCCGAAAATTACTGTCTATATTGCTCCTTCGTTTATTACCGCGGAGACCGGATTTTGCCGTAGCTAACTAAACGAGCCAACACGCAGCGTTTCGCATTTACATAATTGAACGGCAGATCATTTTTTACGCGACGGCTTTCGCAATCCACGTCGAATTCTTGGAGACTGTTCTCTCGAAAATACAATCGTTCAATTACGTAAATGCTAAACTTGACGTAGTAAACATGCATAAAATTGTCATCTGTAATAAAACATGGGCCTTCATTTTATTATCGCGATAATTCATACTTGTGTATTTATAGATTCAAACTGCCGCAGTCGATCAAACTAAAAATCATTCGTATTGAACGATATTGTCAATTTTTCCTTTTTCTATTATCCTCTTTCTATTAATAAGGACCAGAGTAAACTGCGCCATTCATCGCTCTCCTTCAATTACACCTTGTTTTACATTTTAATTAATCGACATTTAATCAATTTGATTGCTCTCTATATATTCTTTTTTTCTTTTTCTTAGTTTAATAGTAAGTTTGTCTTTGTTTAATCGAAATGTCTCTTTTGTATTTCAGAGCCACCAGTCGGCCGATTTGCTTCCAGAAGGAAGAGTGTTTTCGCGGAGACTTACAATCCCGAGGATGACGAGGAGGATGACGGTTTCAAGGTATATATATAGTATATCACGTGTATTACTGTTACTATTCCACGAATTATTACGCACGTTCCCGATAACAAGACCACACGAATGACGCATCGTTGGCGAAGTCTCGCGTTCATATTTTTCCAAAAAAAAAAAAAAGAAATGAAAAAGGTTTGAAGAAGCGTCAATTGATGGAACAAATTACGTATCGATGCCACGATAAATTCTGCAATCGCAGAATTAATGCAATCGCGCCAATAGTACGCGTAATGATGCTCTATTGGCTTGATAGTTGCTCGAACGACGGTAGATTTGTTCGTCCCAAAACGTCGTTTGGCCGTTTCTCTTCTCGACATGCGTCACATCACGTTGCCGTCGCTTTTAGACTTTGTATCATCAGATGTTGCAATAGCTGATATTTTTTTCCCAGCAACGAAGGCTTTGGAAGTATGCATTTTTTACGCTTGTCACGTCCGTCGAATTGGCGAAAACCGATGCGTCAATTGTAGCTGCGTAAGTAATCGCCGAGACCGCAAAAATACGTGTGTTCGGCCGAAAGAAGTATCGCGTTGACGTAAGAAATTCCGCGCAAATATACTGAAATACGATACGAGAGAATAGACTTAGCTGACTTTTTAATAAAGTCAATATTTTCGCTTAGAATTAGATTTTAAAATATTGAAATCGTCCTGGTGTCGGACCTCTCACTTTTGGCGCGATGCTGAATCGAAAGCGCGCTCTTACGCGTCTCGTTAATTACTTATTTCCGTGGAGTGGGCTACGGAAATCTAAAATCAGTCGATCCGAAGACGTGACGCAAAGTAACCACGCAAGTAGAGAACGGGTTTATATAACGCATTCGCACTATAATGCATTCGCACGTATTCGTTATCGCCGGTATTTCTCTTCGACGAGAAGTAGCGATGACGAACGTTCCGTCTTCGATACGGAGGTTTAGGTTTTTTTTTTTCGGTGGTAGCAGAAAATAGAGCCTCTCTCTCTCTCTCTCTTCTTTCCTCTCGTTACGAAATGTCGTTATACGCCGCACGTGTATATGTGTGTATATATACACGAGGTACATAATATATATCACAGTCTATTAAAGCATAGCTAGCGCACAGTCTCTCTCGCTCCTTCCCCCCCCCCCCCCCCTCTCTCTCTCTCTCTCTCGTTCTCTCTCTCTCGCGGCTTGCTGCCGCGCGAATGACGAAACGCGAACGAAGAGTTACTTTGCTCGGCGATGCGAGGTCGACGATGTACCTTTGTGACGTCAGGCCCGTGTTCGATAACCTGGCACGGACGTGATTTACATGTATGTATGCATCACCGTCGTGTGTACGTATCGTGCATACGCGCACGTGAATGAGGGAGAAAGGAGCGTGTACGATGTATGTGTACGTATGTATTTGTAGGGTAGTAAGGGGTTTTGCGAGGGGTCGGGTTCTCGACGAGAGAGAGAGAGAGAGAGAGAGAGAGAGAGAGAGAGAGAGAGAGAGAGAGAGAGAGAGATTTCACAAAGATAGCCCTGGTGAATCCGATTATCGTCACCCCGTGGTGGCTGGTTATACGAAGAGGAAAATCGGCTATCTCTCTCTCTCTTCCTATAGGCCAGGCCGACCGATCATATTTTCTCTCTGTATGCCACGACAACTAGAACAATAGCAGAGAAAACTGGGACACTCGCGATTTTTAGAAAGGCCGAGACTCCGAGACTAGACAACTTCGACGTATGTGAAAACTCCTTAACCGTTTTACGATAAAAGGTACATCACATTCACTCGTTCTTCTTTAACGGTGAATTTCTCGGTCAATTTGGAGTCGATTTTTCCTTGGAATCGAAGATGCGCTTATAATATCCGCGTTATGAGCAAGAAAGAAGAGCTTTACGCGAATCGAACTTCAGGACTCCGAATAGAAAAAAAGATCCACACATCCAGCTAAATTCTTCAGTTAAAAAGTAGAATTTTTAACTTTAGGCAGTTGAAAAAATGTATGAAAACACTGAAGAGTTGCGAAGATGGAAAAATCGATTTTAAATTGTGGCATCGAAAGGCTCCATCGTTAAAATATATTGCGCGCGCGACGAGAAACAGAACACCATGCGCGATAGAATGGATAACGCGCCAAACATGCGATGAAATAACAGTTTTGCAAATGGCAAACGTCGACAAACGGTTGACCCTCTCGGTAAAGTTTTAATCATATACGATACACGCGGCCCGGCTGCACAATGGTGCGGCAGATGGAACACGTCGGTAATGGGAACGAGGAGGTTCCCTGCGAAATTGATCGTTTCTGTGTGCAACAATTGGTGACGATAACGAAACAAAAGAACCAGCCGCTCTTGTGGATAGACCGATTACCGCGTATGCACTTGCTGCAAACGAGGGATATTGCTGGCCGCAATAACGACGCAAGTCGCTAGCCAACGTGCAGACGAGAAGTTTTAAAGGCGAATAATTTTAATGGCAGAGGCGCGGCTTTTTACGAGCAGAAGAATTAAGGTTTAAACGAATAACGTAACATTAACAGCAGCTTCGGTGAGGGCTCTCTTGAAGAATGGAACTTTTTAACTCCAGGGCTGTTTCCCTGTGTAGAAAATGTATAGCGGTTGTAGTGATTATGCACTTCGTAAACGCTCCTAGACATTAAAGGTACCATATAGACGTTAAATATCCTGAACTTTACGCTATTATTATATTAAAAAATAGCAAGGCTTCGTTGCGTAACTTTTATGTGACCTGTGACGTTTTTATTATTAATAAATTTGCTAGGAGTTCTATGCAAAATCGTATAGCTTGATAATCTTTAAAATCTAAAAAACGATCACGCATTCTATCTCTAAAATAATAGCGAGCGAAGCGTGGGAGAGGTCAAAGTTCACCGTCCAGCATAAAGGGCAATATCTCAAGTCCTAGAATCTTGAACTATTGAATTTGCTCGTTGTAACTTTTACAGAGAATTTTGGAAGACCTTATTGCATAATTTATAGAAGTTAATTCAAGAATAAGCAGTCAAAATTATTAAATATAGTAAACATATCAATATAGTGATTAAACGCGATAACTTCATTCATATGTTCATTTATTAGGTAATAATATCGCTTCTTGCACATAAACGAGAATGAACGAAACGCAACATATTTCATATAGTTTTCACATCTTCAGATTACATCAAACCGTTTTCTAATTATTCATCAAAGGAAGAAATTTTCTCTGTAAAGACAACGAAGTGACGATGTCTCAATTATACAGGCGCCTTAATAAGGAATTTAGAAATTTTGTCTATAGCTACATTTTACCTAAACTTCATTTTGTCTTCATACGGCTCATTGATTTCAGATGGTCCATCCAAAGAGCGACGAGCAGCGACAAAGGCTCAGTGAAAGCGTTAAGAACATACTCCTGTTTCGCGCTCTAGACGAGGTAAGTTAAACATAGTGCGTTTAACATGATCGCAAATAGGATTGGTACAACAGTGACTTGATATATCTGCGCCAGTTGGGCGAGATACCAAGAAAATCACGAATAATCTCTCATTAAAAGCAATCGGTTTTGCCAGCAAAACGATTCGCATAATTGAGATAATTGTTTCTTTCATTAGCGACGCATTTAAATATAAATTACTAGTCGTGACTAACAGATAATGTTAAACGTTATAGTTATCTTTTTTAATATATTCTATTTATTTTTAACGTATGTGTACTTAATATATTATTTTTTAATATATTTATTTAATGCGCTTTTTAATATATTTAATATTTTTTATAAATATATTCATTTCTCAATTTGTTTTATAATCTTTAATTTTTATTCGATACACAGTTACACACATCAATTTATCCAACATTACAAATTGAGAATCAACGAAAACAGGAGAGGTCTAAAAATTTTCACGTAGTAAAAGTTGATTTTGTGTTGGCCAAGAATCAATTACGTTAAGAGGAAATATGTATAATGATGAAAGACCTTTATATATGTATATAAATGTATTTATGTACGTAGAAGCACGTACATCGATTATCACCGCGATATTAACGTTACTCCCCCTGCTTGCGTACTACAATATTAAAGCCGATATTTTAAATCCCGGACGATAATATTGCGCTAAAACGTATTTAAACGTGTATAATAAAATTACTTTTGCAGGAACAAATGGCGGACGTACTCGACGCAATGTTCGAAAAAATCGTTCAACCGGGAGAATTTATTATCCGGCAGGGCGACGATGGTGACAACTTTTATGTGATCGAGAGGTAATACTTTTTCTTTATATATTACAGTTAACGTATCGATAGGCTTCTCCCTTCAGCGGGAAGATCCAGTGAACCAAGAGGGGATGCACACAGTCGATCAGTGCTTTTATTCAGAGCTGAAAATATTCAAACAATAATGCTTAGTAATCTAATTATTTTTTGATTATTCATTTTATCGGAATTTAAAACCATCCAGACAAAACAGAAATATACATAATTGTCTTATAATCTTTTATGTTCCATTTCCGATCGTCTCTATTTGTCGCATTTCGTGTTTCAGAGGAAAGTTCGAGGTGTACGTCAAAGATCCCGCCACAACAACAGAGAATCATATTCACACTTACGATAATCGTGGTGCTTTCGGAGAATTGGCTCTTCTGTACAATATGCCTAGAGCAGCCACTGTCAAAGCTATTACGTCTGGCACGCTCTGGGCCATGGATAGGCAAACTTTCCGACGTATCCTCCTTAAATCCGCATACAAAAAGCGTAAAATGTATGAAAATCTTATTAATAAAGTGCCGATGTTAAAGTCTCTGGAGGTAAGTATTATATAACTATTTATATAATTACTTTTAAAAGTGTCGAATGTTTTTTTTTTTAATTTAAATCTTAAGTAGTTCTCGAGTTTTTATTTTGAGATTAAATTATATATTGTATATTTTCTTTATCAAAAGCGCCTCTTCTAGTTAAGAAAAAATATTTAAATAAAAACAAGAAATAATTTTTAAAATATCAACTCCTACGAGATTTGCATCGTATTAAATTCTTCCAGCCTTACGAGCGGATGAATTTAGCGGATGCCCTTGTACCGAAACAGTATTCCGATGGCGAGCAAATAATCAGGCAGGGCGACACCGCAGATGGAATGTACTTCGTCGAGGATGGCGTAGTCAGAATCACTAGACTCGGCGAACACGGTCGTGAAATTGAGGTACATTTATATTATACGCTAATCCGATTTCCCGCAAAACGATCCGATTACATCGACGGCGAGCGCCAAGAAAATTTTCTTCTTACTTAACTCGGGACTTTTAATATCCTACAGATTAATCGTGTTCCGGCTGGCGGTTATTTAGGCGAGCTGGCACTCGTGACGCATAAACCACGCGCCGCTTCGGCCTACGCTGTGGGAGACATCAAACTGGCATGTAAGTTTATTTCATTACTGCCCACGTTTCCTGAATTGATAGGTAATCAATAACATTGTGCCGAGTAATTGCGAATATCGATATTCGTCGCAGCTTCGGCTTGTTAAATGTTGGGAGATAGTCGTGATATCTCTCTCTCTCTCTCTCTCTCTCTCTC